AAAATGTATCACCGGCCAAAGCAGATGCGCGAAAATAACCATACTTACTGGGCTAGCAGATATGAGAACGACATACAAATATTTCATATTGTAAGTGATCATGATGTGCATATGTCTACCATGCAACTCAATTTCGATTCACACTTGTTATTGTATCGTTCTACTTGGGCACATCATATAATTTAATTTCTTTTGCGCTCTCATCCTCCATCATTATGAGGAACGATATATCCGAGCTTGTCTTGCACGGGGAGAAACGGTCATACCATTGCATTGATTTTATTAAAGCTGCTATGAAACACAGGCCTTGATCGATTATAATGGAAGAATATCACTATTGTTCTCAACACGACATTGCTGCATTATATACAAATGTAGCTATCGGCGGGTATGGGGAACATCTATTTGCTGACAAATTTCAAATGTGAGCATTGCATTGTGGAATCCAGAACAAAGCGCGAAATCACCTGGTGGAGGTGCAACATCCAATGTCATTCTAAAGGCGAATATGCCAACACCGCTATTTGACACATTCTATCAAGTATCGTCGAGACTAAACATTGAGCTGATCTCGCCCGTGCCTTTGGATACAAAGGTGACATGTTCATCACTAACGATACGGCATGTATGCCTGTGGCGGTTGATTCTCAGTACACTTGACTCTGAGAAGGGCTGGTGATCCGCCCGAAAGCTAAGATACAAAAAGGAAAGCCAGATGCGACAATAATTATACGAAATATTAATGACATTAATTGTTACAACTTCTTTATTTAGCTAAACAATGGGCAGCCAGTTTATTGCGTATATCATTGGCAACGTCAAGGACCATGCCCGGCATGCTATTTATGGTTCGTAAACCCAGCACTGCATTCAACGATGCTGTAGCGCGTTGCAGCTGGCTGCTTACTTCAGCGTAGTCTTCATTCGCCTGGCAGTTTGGGTACAGCTCTCTGACATTGTTGTAAGATACTTGTATGTCAGTTTGTGCGATGCTCTGTAATCACACTAGAGTCGTTACTATCGGAGAAATATGGATACAGTGCTACTAAATAATATATTTCAGTATATGAAAAGCTCTTTAGCGACCAAATGAACTTTTCTAAACGATAGAAACGCTTGTCGTCGCGACGAAGATTTTTTTGTGAGCAACATATGAAGACTATTTAACGACGCTTGCAGCAGAATCACACAATCTGTCGAGAATTGGAACATGATGAGTTTACAATGGCTATTTCTATCTCTGCGAATACTACGATGAAATTCTTTGCGTATTGTAGCATGCCTTAACAACCAGAATAATAGCTGATACAACTTGGTGATGTCGTTGCCTGCTTCGGATGTGGTGTATTGTATTGATGACGATCTGCATAGAGCATGATTCTGCCGTATATTCAGGGTTGTGATAATGCTGTTTAATCGTTGACTACAGTTAGGATTTCGTCTACGCGGTACCTATACAAACTACCAAGTAGTTCACTTGTCTACCGATACTGCGTGTAACGTATGCTTTGGTCATACCACTGTAAATATATATTCCCAACGTCCCACACGTATTTCTCACAAACTTGACAAAGCAGACTCAACGCTTGATGCAGATACTTACTTGTGGTGATCGTAGTGGGTAAGTGCCTCCACTATAGACCTTATAGCTAGCCAAGCGCTGTAGAGCTGCGCAACTTGCGCTATGGTGTACCGCTTCTCAGCACAATCAATACCGATTTCCAAATCGGCGCAGGACATTCCTTCAAGTATTTCATTGAGTGTAGCGACCACAACTTCCAGGTATCTAGTGCTGAGCAAACGGATTCGGTAACAATAATTTTAGTAAAGTAGCAAAAACATATTATGACAACACAAGCTCTCCGCTAAAATGATATATAAATTCAGTCTGCATTCTGTTGTGAACCACTATTTTTCCAACTATAGGGGCGGTGAAAGGTCAAATGGATGTAAATCAGGACTTAAGTCGGGATGTTTCTAAGCTCTCAGAATTATCAGTAAGGCACATCAGAAGAAGTGTAACAAATTGCAATTTTGTCACAATGGCTCCGACCTCGATGGCAGTGCTTATTCCCTGGAATGTATGTACATAGCTGATCCGAGTAATCGAGAATAGACAGACGAATATAGTAATACTCAGCAGAGACCCGATTTGAGTTTAACGCAAGAAGTATAGAGTTCAACACAAGTAGTATAGAGTTTAACACAAGAAGTATAGCATACATACGTAGCAAAACACATCTTTCATGCACCATAGATTGAAGATGTACAGTACCCTAGACGAAGCGGTACATACGTTTACAGCTATACCGCGTGCAAACCCTGGACGATCACGCACCTTGATCCCACCAACTGCTTCGTAATGCGTGTTAGTGATCTCGCGAAGATTGTCGTCCGGGCCAATGGGTCGATGTAAACATTCGAGTCCTCCATTACAAACAGAGCAGATGATCCGGTTTCAGCATAGTCGTGGCTTCCCGCGCTTGCGTCCGAATAGGAAGTGTCTTGTGTGCTATCGTCACTGTTCAGGTCTGGTGTCTGCACGTGTTTAAGTGCCCTCTGATAGAACGAACCCGGTGGGGATGAAATGTGTTGAGATAACATCCTTCCGGGGTGTTGGTGTTCCAAAATATTGACACCAAATGCGACGGTATATTGATTGGCTAGTTGGTGCATACGCATGAGCTGGTGGGAGCGGACCAGTGAGTTGGGAATAGAGTGACAAGACCAGTCCATCTACTGAACGCTGACAATGAACAAAGCCAACTGGCATAGCACATTCCAGCCATCTCATATTAACGCATGACCTAAGTTTCTTTCAGGCGGTGCGTATGCTACTTATGATAGTGGATTAGAGCTATGTAAATACTCGAAGTCTGCTCTTCTGTTGAACCCGTATTGATATACTGCTCTGGGACTACACGTCTTTCGAACTGGATCATCCATGAGCTCAGCAATTAATTTTCAAACAAAAAACATGACCACACACAAGTATATAAATCTTGATCAGACGGTATATTCTTCCACAACCAGCCATGAAACGCCATATATATTTTACTTTGGAATTATTTCCTGCACTTATAGTGTCCAACACCTTCAAAGCCTCAGTACACATTCACATATGGTGTTGAACAACTTACGGTTGCAACATCAGCCGCACGGCTTAGCCCGGTAGCACCAAGCATCAACGGCCATGTAACATCCGCATCCATCCCTTCAATGTAAGCCAAAATCCGCTCCAGCGCCACCTCCGGGTGCAGATTGATGCACACAGATAAAGACTCTGAAGCTGTGGAGCAAGGGCGGTGCACAGGTTGAGACTACACACTCACATCGGGGATCGAGTAGGCGTATAGCTGCGTGTTATATGAGTGCACCTGTCCAGACAAGAAATACACATACACATACACACACAAAACACACACACACACATAT